CGTGTGCGCAGTATTTCTTAATCAAAGCATGGTTCCGTTAGAGAATTTACTGCAGAATTTATTGCCGTTTGTTTCAAATCTTTACGACTGATAATAACAGAGTAAATCACAGTTTAAATTTTCTGGATCAAGTTCAAACTAGTTTAAAACGTGATTTGTGATTCTCTGTGACGTCCAAATGGAACTTTATTCATGCTTAATGAAATGTAGACCTTCCCCTCAGAAGTAAAGTTGACTCTACAGAGTATGGTCACTTGTTTTAGACCCTATCTCAAGTGATAGAGATCTGGATCGGGTTCAAACTTGTTCAAAACGCGATTTGTTCTTTTCTGCGTCGCTCAATTATTACAAAATTTTCAACCGTCTCGTATTAATTGAAAATGAAAATAAACAAGAGACGACGTTATTGCGTTTGTTTTCACGCTAACGTGTGTGCATTATTTCTAAATCAAAGTTAGAGAATATACTGCAGAATTCATTGCCGTTTGTTTCAAATCTTTACGACTAATAATAACAGAGTAAATCATGTTTTAAATTTTCTGGATCAAGTTCAAACCAGTTTAAAACGTGATTTGTGAATCTCTGTGACGTCCAATTATCATAGAACTTTATTCACGCTTTAATGATATCTAGACCTTCCCCTCAGAAGAGTCAGAAGTGAAGTTGAGACTATGGTCACTTGTTTTAGCCCCTATCTCAAGTAATAATGTCTGGATCGAGTTCAAACTTGTTCAAAACCCGATTTGTGGCTCTTTGCGTTGCCCAATCCTCACAGAATTTTTTTCACCACGCTTTTCTTAAAATAAACAAAATAAAGTTACGATTTTACTGTTTTTGTATTAACGCTAACGTGTGCGCAATATTTCTAAGTCAAATCATGGTTTCGTTAGAGAATTTACTATAAAGTTAATTGGCGTTTGTTTCAAGTCTTTACAACTGGTAATAACAGAGTAAATGATAGTTTAAATTTTCTGGATCATGTTCAAACTAGTTCAAAACGTGATTTGTGGCTCTTTGCGTCGCCCAATCATCACGAAATTTTCACCACGCCTTCCTTAAACCATCTCCTACTCATTCATCTGTTGCATTGGACCGCCAAACA